AATGCCATATTGGGTTTTGTAGAGCATTCTCATTGGGACAGCTGTACTGCACAAATAGCATCCATTCATGTCAGCTGCCACTTCATACGCAAGGCACACAAAGCCAGGTTGAGTCATGACTGTTGTTGTCTGAGACAGCTTTGGTGCAGGGCCTCAAAAGCAGTGGTTATTAAAAGGGTTGAAGCAGGAAGTGTCTTGTTGCTTGGGAGAGAATCTTACTCGAAGTGGAAGCTTTGCAGAGGGTAGAGAAAACTGTTTCTGCAGGATCTTAAAACATTTTTTTAAAGTAATTCTGTGAGAATTTCATGCAATGTATTTTGATCATATTCCTCTTCCTCCCCCAATTCTTCCCAAATCCACACCCTTCTTCCCTACCCACCCAACTTTGTGTCCTTATTTTTTTTTTAACCCATTAAGTCCAATTTGTGTTACCCATATACTCTTGGGTGTGAGGCCATTCACTAGAGTATGGTCCACCACACCACCAGGGGTTACCGCCCTTAAGGAAAACTGCCTTGCCCTCTCTCAGCAGCTCTCAATTGTCAGTGGCTCCTCAGCTATGCATGGGAGTCTGTGCCCAACTTCACTCTCCATGTTAGGATTTTGTCTAGCTTGAGTCTTTGCAGGTCTTATGCATGCTGTTTAAAAGTGCAACTGCCCTGTTAACAATGTTGGGAAAACACTGTTTCCTTGTGGTCATCCACTGCTTCTGGCTCTTAGAATCGTTCTGCCCCTCTTCCACAATGATCTCCGAGCCTTGGAAAGAGGGGATATAATATAGGTGTCCCATTTAGGGATGAACATTCCAAAGTCTCTTATTTTCTGCATCTTGACCAGTTGTGGGTCTCTGTATAAATCTTCACCTACGGCGAAAAGAAGCTTCCCTGACAGTTGAGAGATGTGCTAATCTACAGGTATAACAATAAATCATTAGGTGCTGGTTTAATACCATGTCCATTTGGCAGAATAACAGTAGTAGGTTCTCCCCTACAGCCTATCTAGCCACAGATTCTTGACCCTGATAATGGTGCCAAGTATGGGTTTCATCTTGTGGAACGTGAAAAATTGAATTCTTGTGGCTGGAATTATCAGGCCACAAGTTATGAACAAGTTTTAATTTTTTTGAAGCTGGGTCTCACTATGTAGTCCTGGCTGACATGGAATGCCCTACATAGACCAGTCTGGCCTCAAACTCACAGAAATCCTCCTGCCTCTGCCTCGACCTACCAAGTGCTAGAATTAAAGATGTGTGCTACCATGCCCAGCCCAAGTTATAATGCTTGATACTTATTTCTAAATTGCTTTCCAAGAAGATAAAATCAATTCACAAGTACTAAATGTGTCAGTCTCATTAAACCCTTTTCATATTAAATAGTATCAATATTAACAAAAATGATTATTATAAGTATTATATAAAGTACTTTACATATCTACAACATAACCTCTACACCTAAGGCTCATTGAACATAGTGGAACAAGTGGCAGAGAGAATACAAACGCATCTCTCAACTCTCAACAAAACCCCCTCAGGCAACAGAGGACAATGAACACAAAAGAACAAATGGCCAAAGCACAGAGAATAAGAGCCTGCAGAGTGTAGGTCCTTGGACAGGACTCCTATACTAAACTCCACCCATCCAGGACTCAGGGACCATTGTGGAAAAGGGGGGGGGTGGAAAGACTGAAAGAGCCAGGAGAGGATGTACATGAACAGAAGGAAACAGCATCCTACAGGCTCCTGGAACACTGCACATATGAATCTATAGCAATGGTGTCAGCATGCACAAGACCCATGCAAATTCAAGCAGGCAAAACACTGTGAAAATGGGCAGCAGACCCCAATCTTAGCTGAAGAAATATTGGCAGCTTTCTACTGCTGGGTGAGGAAGAGCTGATTGTCTTAAAGGGAATGACTCTCAATAGGCTACTAGACCTCAGTGAATGAGCTTGCACTGAGGAACATCAGGGGACACTAACTTGACTTGGCAAGCCTTAACACAAATGACAGAATGCATCAGATCCAGTGGGGGAGCTATGGGAGGTGCCAATGGGGAAGGGGGATAAAGATGATTAAGATGTTGTTATGAAATATACAAGAATTCAATAAAAATTTTACCAAAAAAGTGTGTCACTTTAATTTTATACCTTTATTAGAAAAAAATGCCATATATACTCATAATTCCTGGCCAATTGGATACTTCTATTAAAATCATCCATATTCCTTTTTAGCTGGGAAGCTACTGCTGCTTTATTTATTTTGACATTTACATATTAAGAATATTGTTTGTTTTCTCAGGGTCATCTTTCTTTACTCACTCAGTTGTGCAGAAAGAAGATCATGCTCCCTATTTAGTATACCTCAAATCCCACTTCAACCCCTGTGTGGGTGTCCTCATCAAACCCAGCTGGGTGCTGGCCCCATCTCACTGCTACTTACCGTGAGTATTGAGCCACCCTACTGAGAAAGTCTTTAAAAGAAACTAATTGTGGGGCTAGAGAGATGATTCAGGGGTTAAGAGCACTGGCTGCTCTTGCAGAAAACCCAGATTCAATTCCCAGAACCCACATGGCAAGCAATAACCATCTGTAACTCCAGTTCCAGGGGAATCAGACACCCTCTTCTGACCTCTGTGAGCATTGAACAACATGGGTTCACTCATATACATGCAGGCAATACACTCATATACATGAAATAAAAATAATAAAATATTTTTAAAAGAAACTAATTGCAAAGTGATAGTTTCATGACCCCCAGCAGCAGTGTTTCGAAAACACAGTGATCATCCTTATGCTTAACGGGAAGGAATGGTTTCAAGGGAATGAAAGACTCCTGCATGAAGAGACTAATAGGAACAGTAATCTATCATCCAAAGTCTTAGCCAGTCTGTGGCAAGGCTGCAGGGAGAGAGCTGGGAGAATAAATACTCCAACCTCACCCTTTTCCCTCCGAACACCTTCTGGTACTTTTTATTGGCTATAAGCCAAAAAACAAGAAAGTTCATTGATTTAAACCACATATCACCTCCTGCATCTTTAAAGAAGGAAAGAAGAGGGTTGTTAGTAGGTTTGGTGAAGAAAATAAAACATATCCAACACTCTGGTCATTTCATTCTCCTGTCCCCACTAAAATAGAAATTGCCCATTTAGACAGGTGAGGCCTGAGGAGTGCTGAGTACTAGATTTGACGTGCACTATTTTCCTCTCCATTGCTTTAAAGATGCTACATTCAAAAGCAGTGCTTAAGGAGTCCACTAATTACTGTTTGACCATGAGCAAATTCCTACTATGTGTGTCTAGTTCTTCACTTGTAAAATGGGAATAAACATAAGGTCTACTGCACAGACCTATTGTGAGTAAAAGGAAATCTAAATACAGCACTCACCACAATAACTGGCACATTGCAACATACAATATTCAGTACTCGGGATGACGATGATAATGATAGTGACAAGTTTGTTCCCAACCCCTTCTTGCAGAAATCTGAAGGTAATGATGGGAAATCTCAAGAGCAGAATCAGAGATGGAACAGAGCAGACAGTTCACCCCATCCAGATTGTTCGCTACTGGAACTATAGCCACAGTAATCCGCAGGATGACCTCATGCTCATTAAACTGGCTAAGCCTGCCACCTTCAACAACAAAGTCCAGGTCCTTCCCGTTTCCAGCACCAGTGTCCGACCAGGCACTGTCTGTTTGCTCTCAGGTTTGGACTGGAGCCAAGAAAACAATGGTAAGTGCACGTTCTACAGAAAACAAGGTCATTAATTTTACCCTTAAAGAGAAGCATGTTCTGCGAGCTCTGAGATTAAAAGGGAGTGGAGAATGCTGGACCCAAGGGAGAAGCTACAGGAGTGATCTAGAAAGACCTGCCTAGAAGTTCAATGCTTCTCCATTCCTGGTGTCAAATGATCTTCCACCACCTCTGCAGGGCATTGGCAGATGGATCCCATGGGCCACTTGACTGCACAGAGGCTACACCATTCCTGATTGCCAGGGACAACATTTGCGTTAAGGAAGCTGTGGTCCTACTTCCGTCACATGTTCATTTCACATGTAAAGGACATCTCAAAGGACTTAAGTCAGGTCACTTCTGGATACAGAGTAGAAAGACAAGTCTGCATTTCAAAGACACATAAGACTATTTCACATGGGAGAACACTACTGTGTGTGTCCAGTATTTCATTTGTATAATGGGAATAATCTTCAGGAATAACTCTCCTAACTCTGCTCAAGTTCATTTCTTCCTCTTTTTTCCCTTTATTTTCTTCATGCATGTACAGAAAGATACCCACTGAAGTACAGGGTTGGGGTTAAGTATAAACAGCAATTGTGAGTGGAGTGTTGTTTTCCCACAGGCAGGCATCCTGACTTAAGACAGAATCTGGAGGCCCCCGTGATGTCTGACAAAGACTGCCAGAAAACTGAACAAGGAAGGAGCCACAGGAACTCCTTATGTGTCAAGTTTGTGAAAGTATTCAGCCGACTATTTGGGGTAATCTTTTCTCACATTCACATTTCATTTACTTGTCTGTGTCTAGAAAGCTACTTAACCAGATTACAATTTATTTTAACTTCCAAATCATTTCTGAGGATTTGATAAGGTCAGTGCAATGACATCTTCATTTTTTCGGTCCTCCTCTCCTTACAAAGGATCGGTATTCATGAAAGTACATGATAATCTCTTGTTAATAACAATTGCTGGATGTTCAGAAAAGTGATGGAAATAGGCATTGCATTGCTTCTAAAAATTCAATCTCTCTCTCCCTCTCTCCCTCTCCCCCCAATCCCCACCTCTGGCAGGAGGTGGCTGTTGCTACTGTCATCTGTAAAAACAAGCTCCAGGGAATCGAGGTTGGACACTTCATGGGAGGAGATGTCGGCATCTACACCAATCTTTACACATATGTGCCATGGATTGAGTCAATCACTAGCAAGGAAAACTGATGTCCTGCTTTTCCTTCTGCGTCCTATTCTCTCTGCAGTTGACTACTAAAGTCCATACGCTATCTGAACTCAAAATCTCCAAGTAAAAATCTTTGGATGCAGCACACTGGCAACCAATGTCTTGTTTGTGCCCTTGCCCACATACTATAATGATATGAAGAAATAAGTAGTAAATAAGTAGTTACTCTTAGAGTTGGAGAGATGGCTCAGTGGTTAAGAACACTGGTTGTTCTTGTAGAAGACCTGGGTTTGAATCCCAGCACCCACGTGGCAGCTAACAACTGTCCATAACTCCAGTTCCAGGGGATCCGACAGCCTCTTCTGTCCTCCATGGGCATTGCATGACACGGGTGTACTTACCTACAAGCAGGCAATACACGCATACACATAAAATAAAAATAATAAATTTTTTTAAATAAGTAGCTACTCCATTGTGCTATGTTATGCTGACTGTCGTGTGTAATGTTCATAATAAACCTTTGAAGGTATCTTTTGTCCTCTATAAAAGAAAATCTGAGGCTAGAATATTACTCAACTCAGAGCCTGGAACAGAATGTGAAACATCAGATTCTAAACCCTGTGCTTTTAGCATAGATGCTACAAAGGAATCTCTGGCATTGCTGCAGGGGACGGTGATTTATCACAGACGAATGACAGTTTATTTAATTCAAAGAAAAAGGGAAACTATGCCTGAGGGGCAGGACAAACAGGCTTAAGGTCTTGGCAGTTGCCAGCGACTGAGATAGGGAGCTAGAAAGTTATGCTTTCTAGGTAGAAAGAACTCAGAGATTGGTAGGTTACAGCTGGGTCTGTGAGCCTTGAGGGATGGGGTCTTTGGGGTTTGTAAGTGTATGACATTAAAGGAACACTCACTCCTCTCAATTCCTTACCATGTCTTCAGCTAGGCCACTTCTCTTCCCACCTGTTGACTTACACTGGTGGTCTTTAGGAGGTCAAGCGGGATTTTCTCTATAATAGAGTGGTTTTAATGCTTATGTCAAAGGAGGTCTGTATAAACATGGATAAGAGCTTAGAGAAAGACTAAGATATAAGAAATCCAGAACTAGAGGCTGGTTCACTTATACAGAGCCCACAATAAAAGCTTACAACTTAAGCTCAACCTAACAGTTATTATGGCTCAACCTGTCAATTTAGTTTTGATTTATTGTTGATCTTATTGCCAAATCCTAGATTGTGCTTAATGGTACCTAATTCCTATGGTACAATGGTACAATCCCATAGGACTATTTTGTATAAAAGCAGATCATTAGATTGCCTGCCCTATGACATACATCCTGACTCACTGCTGAAATTATTATTTCTAATGGTGATATGATTTTCAATAGGCTTTTATATAAAAATCTGATCATTTTCAAATTAACAGAATTTTACTTCTTCTTTTCTAATCTAAGAGCCCTTTATATCTTTTTTCTGGCCTCATCATCCAGGCCAGAAAGGTGAGACATTAGATTATCTCTTCCCCAAGATCAGGAATAAGGTAATGATCTCAAGTCTTGACACCTCACCATTCTGTGCATTTTAGGAAGGCATTGAGTTGAAGTTTCATCGTATCCTGAGTTTGTTGAGTGTTCGTAATCATAAAAGAATGCTAACTCGTCAAATACTTTTCCCATCTATTGAAATGATCATATGGTTGTTTACCCTAGATTCTCTTAGGGTATAGGGCATAACTACATTGACTGACTTTCAGATGTTGAAACAGCCTATTACCCCTGAGAAAAACATCACTGTGGTATATAACCCTTTTTACATATTTCTGAATTCAGTTTCCCAGTATGTTTCATATCTGTATTTACAGGAGGTATTGCTATCTGTAGTTTCCTTTTCTTGCAACATCTTTGGTTTTCATTTGTATGTTGTATTTCATTTTTGTTTTTGTTTTTTGTTTGTTTGTTTGTTTTTTACACAGGGTCTCCCTGTAGCCCCAGCTAACTTGGAACTTGATATGTATTTCAGGCTAGCCTTGATCTCTGCCTGCTTCTACCTCCCCAGGGCTGAGATTAAAGGACTGGGCCACCGCGCCTGGCCTTTTGCATTCTGTGTTTTAACAGCTTGATCATTCATATCCTCAGTATTTTACTTCTATAATTACATGTTAAATGGGCCTGAATTTTCATCTCTTTATTTCTATTTTGGCATCGAGATTGTATTGGCCTCAGTGAAGCTGGAGGACTATTTTCCTTTATTCTTCTTTTGCATTTTTTAAATAATTAATTTTTGTTTTATGTGTATGAGAGTTTTGCCTACATGTATGTAAGTACATCCATATCATGCAGTGCCCACAGAGGACGGTGTTGGATCCCTTACAACTGGAGTTACAGATAGTTGTTAGCTGCCATCTGGGTGCTGGGAACTGAACCTGGGTTCCCTGTGAGAGCAGCAGCCAGTGCTCTCAAATGCCACCACCCCTCAGTCTACTCTCTGAAAGGGTGTTTGTTTGTTTGTTTGTTTGTTTTTGTTGTTTGTTTGGGGGAGGGGTGTTGTATGGAATAGGGAACATGTAGATGTATGTATATGCATCTGTGCACACACGTGGACGATGGGTACACCAGGTGTCTTGCTCCATCACTCTGCCTGATTCCTTTAAGACAGATCTCTCACTGAACCTGGAACTAGACTAGACTGGTAGCCAGCAACGCCCAGGGATCCTCCTGTCTCCCCTTCCCTCCACTCCCACAATGCTAGGGTGATAGGCACACGCAACCACACACAACTTTTGACCTGAGTTCTGGGGATTTGAACTCCTCACACCTGTATAGCAAGTGCCTTATGCACTGAGCCATCTGTCTAGCCCTAGAAGAATATTTTACAGATGGAATTATCTATAGAATTTTCTAAATGTGTTTTATGCATAGAAATATTTTAACTGCTACTGCTTAAATTTATTAAGTAAATAGATTCCCATTTCTTCCAAAATCAGTTTGGGTAAATTGTATTTTCCTAGAAATGTGTAATTTCATCTCAGTTTATGTAAAGCTGTTGTATTAGGTAGGTTTTTGTTGCTGTGACAAAAATGCCTAAGAAAAAACAAGAAAGGACAGATTTATTTGGCTCATGGTTCATGGTCCATCACAGAGGGCATAGCATTGTGCAGGAGTATGAGGCTGCTGATCCCCAGTTGGGAAGCACAAAATGAATGCTGGAGTTCCACTAGCCTTCTCCTTTTCATACAGCCCAGAACCACAGCCCATGGAGCAGTACCACTGACACCCAGGAGAAGTCTTCTCACCTTGAGTAAGCCTTTCTGAAAATACTCTCACCCAGAAGTTTGTGTTCTAGGTTAACTGTAAATTCTACCAAGCTAGTAATAAAGATTAACCATTACAAGTCGTCCCTTGTCTACTCAAAACCCAAATATATCATTTTAAAATTGTCATGCTCCACTCTGACCCCTAAAGTCTCATGTTCATCTCATAATGTAAAATGTATGTAGTCCACCTGTTGATGTCTCCAAAGTCTTAATAGTCCCAACAGTGTTCAAAAGTATAAATGCATAGCTTCTTCTGAGACTCAGAAAATATCTTAATTATAACAAAAATAAAAACTGCAAGTTATATACTTCTATTATGACTGACTTCAGTCCTCAACTTGACACACCTGAAGTCAATTTCCTCTACCAATCAGCCTGTAGGCATGTCTGTGAGGCATTTTCTTGATTGTTGAGTGATATGGTGAAGGGCGGAGGGCCCACCCTCTTTGCATATAGCCACTCCTGAGCAGATGGTCCTTGAATTGTATTAAAAAAGCAGGCTGAGCACATGCCAGAGGAGCAAGCCAGTAAGCAGCATTCCTCCATGGTCTCTGCTTCAGCTCCTTCCCCAACTTCCCTTAATGATGAACTGTGATCAGACATGAAAGCCAAACCAACCCTTTCCTCTCCAAGTTGTATTTGGTCAGAATGTTTTATCACAGAAATAGAAAGCTACCTAAGACAGAGTTGGTACCAGGAACATGGGGTATTGCTGTGAAGGACTTGACCATGTTATTTGGGGAAAGACTGTGGAAGCATTTGGAACTTCAGATTAGAAAAGCCACTGAGTACTTGGAACTTAGTGAGTAGTTCTGTGGGAGCTTGGAGTGATGCATAAAATGGAGGCCTGGCTTGTGAAGTTTCAGAGGCAAGTTTGAGAGTCATGCAGATAATCTATCTGTGCCATTTGTGTGATACATTTTGAATTAAGAATCTATGGAATTAAAACCTTTTGTGCTTTACTGGGGGAATAGAGACTGATCAGCTGGGATTGAAAGATCAGCTGGGATTAACAAGAGGCCAGCATCACTGAGGTCAAATATTCTGCAAAGTATAAGCTCAGGGTCAGCACACAGAAACCGTGGTCCAGAGGGGGCCAAGGCTGCATCTTGGACTGGAAGCTCAACTTGGTAATATGTAAGAATCTCCCACATGATACTACTTTTAGAAGAATTTAAGGGTTCAGAGAAAGAAGCTAAGCATTGTACCATATGAGGCCAGAAGAGACCATTGGTCAAGGTGCAGACTCAGTTACAGTGGAGACCCCAGAATATTGGAGTTACCAAGACTCTAAGATGATCACCAAAGACAGTGGCAATTGTGGTGTGGAGTCAGCCTGGGCCTACAAGACAAGCTGTATGTGCTGTGGATGGCAGAGCCAGAGAAAGAGCACTACTCAAGCCCTTTGGAGTAGATCATGAGTGAATCCCAGATGTCAGACACTGAGCCATGCTGCTGAACTTTGGTTTTGCTTAAGTGTGCCCTGGCTCTGCCGTCTTGAAATAAGACATCATATAACTTGTTTGGGGTTTTACAGAAGTCGACAGTTAAGAGACTCTTTAAAAAGACTTTGAACTTGTAAAGTGTTTGAATTTTTTTAAAGTCTAGAACTTTTAAAGTTGTACTATACCTTCCACTGTGAGTTAACATGAGCTCTTGGGGATAAACAAGAAAGGAAAGGCTATAGCTTAAAATGATGTTTATGTGTCAACGTTAACAAAGTGTGGCATGTTATGGTTGACTTCAGTTGTC